AAATCAGACCCATGGTTTGAATGGGTACAGAAAACACGCTGTCGCATTCGCTTTACGCTTTGCAAACCGTTTCTGTGAAGTGAGTGTCCACGTTAAGCGTCGTCTCATGCTTGACTTGGCAACAACCAAAGCACGAAGTATACGGCAAGAATATAATTCATCACCTCAAATTTCTGCCGTTCACAGCCCCGCTCGATTTTATGTGGTGATTTTAAGAGCTACAGACCAAGGGTCTATTTCACCACGTGGTTATTTGCCTCCCATTTCTAGATATTACGATGCGATGGGAGAACCTACCACTCCTTCAACTAACGTAAAGGCCAAGGTTGTACCAGGTCGTAATTTCCCGAAGCGGGACAACAGCGAGTTCCACTGAGGGTAACCCATCCGTATCATCAGATACTAGTCACAGCCCTAGTGCACCCGCCGTCCCATCAAACGTTTGACGTGGAGGTGGGCCACCCTATGACCGAAAGAGATCAATTGCCCCGCGACTGGCTGTGGTGTCCTCTTTCGATTGTGATAACACGTCGATTCCCTCCGAGAGTCACGACGTATGTCCGGGGATGAGATGACCCAGATCTTGGATTTGCTCTTTGGGCTTTGCCATTGCATAACTTGGCTGGAGGAACTCTAAGCAGCTCAAACCGTGTCGCTGCTTTTAAAGCAGGCAAAAGCTTAGCTTCAGGGTGGTGGTGATATACACGTTTCTTCGTCCGCAACAGAGCTCTTTAGATCCAGTTGACTATTAAGGGCGAGATCATGATCTGGTTTCGGTAGGCCCACGTAGAATACTGGGTGTACTCGCATTCGATGTGTAATACACAGATTACAGCTCGATCACTTTTTGCCCAGACCGTGCACGGTTCGATGTCGTGCGATCACAAGGTAGTCTTACTGAACGCGGACGCTCAGTTAAGTTAATTTTGATTACCGTAGCTTTTCCCTTTCAGACCGGAACCATATCAAAGGCATTCAGGGGTTCACCTAGCTATATCTGTATAAAGGCATGATTGTACTGCGCTGCATTTCAATGAAAACCAGCAATTTGCCCCTGAGGATAACTTTTACGGCGATATTTACGCGTTTCGTCCGATCAACTGTTTGTGGACGGCCAGCAGTTGACATATTTTATCTGGTGCTGAGCACCTAGTTTATTGTGTACTTCGCTGAAAATGCGGATCTCCATCCGATGAAATAGCAACCGACAAACTATGTTAACAATCTCGTTTGGTCAATAATAAGGTTCTCACGGGTCACACTGTCGCTGCCAGCCGCGGGATGAGCCATTTCATCCGGACGGCCCACAACGGTTGCAATACACGTCTTATAGAACGCGCCTCATGAAAAACAAACTAAAGCCATTCTGATGAACTGTCCGAGCTTTGCTGGGATCGATAGGCTTGCCAACGTTGTCACCACACGCGAAAAGAGTTCCACCCTTGACACGATTGATACGTGCGGTCATATGTGCTTACTTTTGGGGCACCAATTCATAGCGCCCGCCGAGTAGTATGCCTCTCGTCATCCAAGGTCGTTATCCAGAGGGAATCATATGGTTTGTGCAGTGTTCTGTACCTGAGGCCCTCGTCACTATACGCTGAGTGTCATTTAGGCCAGTGCTATAATCAGCAAGCCTGGGATAAGGCATAGTGGTATAGCGCAGACGTGCAGCCGCACGCCTCAATAAAGCGACAAATTAGCTCTCGAAATTCTTTCTTACCAGATTTTTCACCAGTGAAAAACATCAGCTGTCTGGATCGCCTTATCACTCGGCGATGTCAACATAGTGACGTGCGACAGTTCGTGGTCCGAGTGGCGCGAAAGCATCGCAGCCACCACCACATCGGACTAATTCCGCTTTTACCTTACCTTGAAAGTATACACGACAATAACTAATTGGACATGTCGACATTCTCTGTGAGAGATGTCATGACGACGTCGCTGTGCACAACAACGTGTGGTCTATATAGAACATAAACGGCAACAACAGGTGCATCTTGAGCTTGCCGAGGGTATAATTAAAAGCAAATCGCTTCTTTTTATGAACATGATGCTTTTTTCAGCAGCTTTTAGCTGGCGTGCTTAAACGTAATCAGACGTTCATGCTCATTGGCATCTGTTTGATTCAAATGCAGCCTATTGCAAAAGATGTAGCACCCCAGACGACGTGAAAAGGCCGATCAAAATATGTAAGAGCAATAATCGCGGCGCGTGTGAGGAATTAATATACAGCATCATAGACCGCCTTTTCCAACGCATCTCAGAACCTCCACAATTCCTTTGAAGAAGATTGGCAAGAGGATGTGCCATGTGGCACAGGTTGCACTATGACTGTGCAAGTAGTTGGATAAATCCATTTTCTCAAGGTCTCTCGGGACAGAGCTTAATATCCTACAGTTACCTATATTTTCACTGCGCCTACCCACAGTCCCTGCTTTCCAATTAATCAACCAAGAAAAGGGATATTCGTCGGCGCTAGAGACAGATTTTCTCTACTTGTGAATAGCTTGTTTAAGTACATACAATTAAGCACTATTCGCAAGTGTTCAATGTGGT